ATTTTTGTAGATGATGAGGAAAAAAGACGAAAAATAATCAAATATAGATAGAATCGATTTTTTTTTTCGCAAAGAATTTTATGATAAAAGTGATTTAACATCAGTTGGTTTACGCGATTCATCAGAAGATGTTGATGAGGATGGTGTCCTTGATATTCTTGAATAATAATTAAAAAAATCATCTTTGGAATCGTATTCTCCCGCAGATGAGGGAGGAGTCAAGGATTCTGGTTCTTGTTCAGGTAATTTGGAACGAAGCTGAAAAATCTTCAGAATCACGTGAATGGGTTAGATATGATTACGTAATAAAGAAATAATAGATCGTAACGTTAAAGAAGGTTACCTCTTTCTCCATTTCAACTATTTTTTCTTGAAAAGTTTTTTTGTCAGCGACTGCCTCTTCCAACTTTTTTTCTAACTCCATAATATGTTTGGCACTATCCATACTTTCTAATTCTTGAACTCTTCGTTCCAAAAATTGACATTTTTCTTGCATTTCTCGTTCTCGTTGCTTCCGCCGATCTCGAAAACGAGCAGACGCACCAGCATTTCTGCGTCTCTTTTCAGCAAGTAATTCAGTCGCAGGATCAACTTGTTCATTTTGACGATACACGGGATGTTGATATGGATGATGCATTGGTCTGGAGACCATACTATGAGGATGCGTAGTAGTCATTAAAACCTGAGTCGCGTTTCTAACCTGTCTTGGTAAAGAATATGACTGTTCATGCTGTGGCAGATTTGAATGAGAATGAAAGTGGCCACTTTCAAAAGACGTTTGTATGTGTTCTGGCTGAGAATATATTTTCAGGCCGACTTGCTTGGTTGTTATCGACGGTGGGGTTGGTGGTGTTGAACGAACGTATGAACGTGTGACGAATGGAGGAGTCGAAAAGTCAGCCGGAGGGGAACATAATGATGATGATACCGGAGGGGCAAGACTTGACACGGGTGGTAAAATCGGCATAATATTATCCGTATCAATAGTTATAATAGGCGGCAAACCCCTTTCGGAACCAGAACAAGAAGAATGAAAGGACATCGTCAGGAATAGCAATCAAATGATTACAATATCAGTAAATTCTTGCTTGCTTTGAAACTATCTTTGTTTGTGCGAGCTTCAAAAAATTATTTTTCTTAAGATGAAATTAGATTGATACCGTAACATGCACCAGAGAAACAATTTCAAAGATTAATGATTACGATGGTTTAAATTATCAAGTTAATGTACATAAGATAGTTTGGTCATAAATTTTTTGTTTCTCCTTGATGACTAACAAATTTACATTTCTTCGTTATGCTATATCGTGATAATGAAAAAATGTAAAACTGAGAGTTATCAAATAGATGACTATTTTTTTTTTTTTTATTCAGAAATGGTGAATCAGATGTGTATTTATTAGATGTACAAAAAAAAGACCAAATTTTAGGGTATACCAAAAGGGTTAGAAAATAAGGTCGAGCATTTCTCCGAGGTTTAATAAAAAGCGGGCATTTGTCATCGCGTAGCGAGTTGAATTGATTGTGAAGGCATGTATAAAAAAATTTTTTGGTTACGTTTATGTACAGTAATAGTGAGTAATAGTGCAGTATATTGTTGATTTTTATTGCACCATGTATTTTTTATTTTATATATCACATAATAATAAAAAAGGTGTAACTTATGACATTATCATTCTTTTAATTTAAGAAGGAAAAAAAAATTATTAGCATACACAAAAACGAATTTGGTCATTTTTCAATCGTAAATGTATGCCGTTTACAATGCCATATGTGATTAGCCGTTGATAAATATAATAAGTTATACATGATTACAGCATTCACGGGCACTAAATCGATATCAAGATCAAAAAGGGGAACCGGGAACCGATGTGTGGATAAAATAAGTACAACAATCAATAATTAGCAGTTTTAAGCTATTTTAAAAATCATTCAGATACTAAAAAATTAAACAATAGGATTCAATTTTTTTTCGTAATAGGTTTTTTTGGATTGAAATCAGGAGTTGCGTAAAACAACTCGCACGGATAAGAATTTTTTTTTTTTGATGTAGGTCTCGAGTTTTGGGAATGAATTTTTTTTTTTGCATCCAAGCTTAAACCGGTATTGACAATTTTTAAATGCGATATGACAATCGAATAATTGCATTCTAAGACGTCATTTTAGTGTACCGAAGATTTCTCCTTCTTTTACTCCTTCGGTGAACTTCTGCATCACTCATTTTATTCAAGTTTTTGCGCTATTCCTTCTTTGTCTATTGCACAATCTCTATTCGCAATGTGCAAATCGTTAAGAAAACACAATCAATTAATCTATATCCTAAAAAGAAATCAATCTTGCCTAGTAGCACATTATATTCACCACGCATAATTGCATGATTTATTCCCGGTAAGTCCTGACTATTTTCGAATCATTTTTTTGTAACTCGAGTGTCATTCAATTCATCAACCTGTTAATCCTGATTATGTCGTCATGACGGAAAATTTTAGGATGGGAAAAATTATCGCGAATCTGAATTTTATCATCCTAAGAACTGGTGAATATGACAATGATGTTGTAAATCGAGAGTGATGTTAGAATGCTACTTAATAAATCTGGTATTTCTAATTATGTACAAGGGCATAATAGGAAATGTGAATGAGGATCGGGAACTCACTTCCTTAAAAGTCATGTAATTAACGGGTAAGCTATTGTGAAAATGGTGCTAAAATTCTGATTTTTAGAAATTTACACCTGCTTTTTAGCTTTTTTATCGATTGTGAAATTCCATTCTTACTAAATTACAAAAATTGAAGAATCAAAATTTTCAAACTAAAGTGATTAATTCTTGTACAATTGATTTTTAAATAATTCTATAAATAAGGTCGCATTCATTGTGTATCACTCTTAAAAATTTCACGCGTTATTCGTTCTTTATCATTTTCACAACACACGC